CTCGGCCCCGTGTCCGAAGCTGTCCGGCACAGGGCCAGACCCGGCCGTTCCCACTCCGGACCGGGCCGGCCGCTCCCAGGGACACACCTTGACCTTGCCRGGCACCCGCTGCCCTGTCCAGCCCRGTGAACCCCRWGTGCCAACGGTGCCATGGGCAGCACCTTTGGCTGGGGAAACTGAGGCAGGGTGTTGGGGAGGGTCCTGGGGAGTGGGACCTGAGCCTTGGGGACAGTGAATACCCTGAGCAAGAGGGCTCCTGTCACCGGTGAGGTGGCCAAACCCTGACCCCACTGTCCCCCAATGGCTGGGGCTGTCCCCAGCTACTCTGGGTGACCTTGGGGACCCCTCCCAGCCAGGGCGACCCTTCTGTCCATGGGACCCATCTCTGCCATGGGGACCTATTCCTGCCACAAGGGTCCCCACCCACTTCGGGGACCCTCCCAGCCGCGAGATCCCTCCCGGCCCCCTCTGGCACAGTCCTGCCGGAGTTTCTGCCCGAACTCACCCATTTTCTTCAGGGCTCTCCCGGGCCGGCGGGAKCCACCGGCACCGTCCGACGGGGCGCGGAGCTGCTCGGCGGCGGGACGCGCCTTCCTGCCGCAGATCATGACGCGAGACCCCCGGTACCGCCGGTACTGCCGGTGTCAGCGGGACTCCGGTGCTCYCGGTGCTCCCGGTACYCCGGTGCTCCGGTTACCCCGGCACTCCCGGCGCCCCGGGCAGTTGTGTYGCTGCCGGCACTCCCGGTGCCCCCGGCCGGTGTAACCGCGCTGGGCGGTGGCGGAGGTCGGGGCTGGGGCTGGGCGGCCGCGCCGTGACCGGGGCCGGGCGCGGGGAGGGAGCGGGAGGAGCCACACGCAGCCGGGGCGCTGTTAACCGTTTGTGCCGGCCCGGGGCGAGCGGCGGCTGCCGGCGGTGCCCGGGGCTGCCCGGGATGGGACCGCACCGGGGCCGGGCTGCGCGGGGCTCCGTCAGCACCGGGAGCGGGCCGGGGTCCCGGTATTGGCTCTGTCCGAAGGGCTGGGACACGCCGGGACAGACCGGGACAGACCGGGACACACCGGGACACACCGGGACAGACCGGGACAGACCGGGAGTCCCCGCTGCCCACCGCGGGTCCTCCTGCACCGGGGACCGACCCAAGGGTCACCCCAGGGAACCCCACCCTGCCCGGGGGCCGCGGCTGCCGGTGCCACCCCGGTAGAGCCGGTGGGGACCCAGGGCACCCCCTCTGCCGTCACACGTGGGGACCCAGTCCTGCCCTGCCGGCTCTGTCCCCAGCTCATGGCACCGSGCTGAGGGGCCCAGGCGGGTGCTGGGAGCTCCAGGTGACTGTCCCCACTGGTGGCACACCCAGCATGAGCCAGTCCCAGAGCCCCAGGTGTGTGTGTGTGTGTGCAGCCACTCGCAGATCCCAGAACCATTTAGGGTGGAAAATACCCCCACGATCATCGAAACCAACCTGTGCCCCATCCCCACCTTGTCCCCAGCCCAGAGCACTGAGTGCCACCTACAGCCCTTCCTTGGACACCTGCAGGGATGGGCACTCCAAACCCCSCTGGGCAGCCCCTTCCAAGGCCTGACCACCCTTTCCATGGGGAAATTCCTGCTGGTGTCCAGCCCGACCCTCCCCTGGCACAGCCTGAGGCTGTTTCCTCTCGCTCTGCCCCTGGTTRCCGTTTTCCCGCAGCCACCGCTGAGGGTGGGTGGGGCAGGAAGAGTTGGGTGGCCGCAGGCTTCTTCCAAAAATCCACGGTGTCCAGGGGAACGGGGGGGCTGTGCCAGGCCTGGCCGGGCCGKGGGGACGAGGAGCTGCAGGACAGGGAGAGGAGGCGGCTTTCCCTGGTGCCAGGGCAGCAGTGGTGCTGCCAATCCCTGGGTGGGAGAATGGAGCAACATCTGAGCAACATCTGGGCACCTTGAGTGACACCTGAGTACCCTGGGGTGACATCTGAGTAACATCTGAGCAACATCTGGGCACCTTGAGTGACACCCGAGTACCCTGGGGTGACAYCTGAGCAACATCTGGGCACCTTGAGTGACACCCGAGTACCCTGGGGTGACACCTGAGCARCATCTGAGCAACATCTGGGCACCTTGAGTGACACCTGAGTACCCTGGGGTGACACCTGAGCAACATCTGAGCAACATCTGGGCACCTTGAGTGACACCCGAGTACCCTGGGGTGACACCTGAGCAACATCTGGGCACCTTGAGTGACACCCGAGTACCCTGGGGTGAYATCTGGGCAYTTAGGGCAGCATCTGGGAATACTGGAATATACTGAAGCAAAATTGGGGCATCCATGCCAACATCTGGGTGCCCTGGGTGACATCTGTGTATCCTGAGCAACATCTGGGCACTTAGGGCACCAAATGGGCATCCCTGGGACAATCTCTGGTTATCCCAGAGCGACATCTGGGCAGCACCTCAGCAGCCTGGGACAGTGTCTCAGTGCTGTAGTTCAGGACCTGAGCAACTCCTGCAACATCTGGACAGCTGGGGGCACATCTGTGCAGTCCCTGAGCCGTGTTGGGGGGGTTCAAGCTTTTCCTGAATGTTTTGGGGACAGGGGGACGCTGCAGTCACCCCAAAAATGCACTTGCAACTTGCACAACCGGGCTCTGCTCCAAGTTCTCTTCCTCCCGTTGAAACCGCATTCCCAGGAATTCAGCAACAGATGCCCCGGCCCGGCGGAATGAGCAGGATAAACACCTCGGGCTGCAAAATCCGCAGCACGAACCAACCCCGGCGCGGTTCCCCCCCTCTCTCCCGAGGCGTTGCTATTTTCTCCCGCCCGACAGAGGGTTGGAAGGGATCCCGTGGAAAACAGCGGCTCGCATTCCCGGCCGCTTATAGCACAGCACGTGTGCCGTGAATCAGCGCTCGGGATTCGGGGCTGGCTCGGCCGGGAGCCGGAGCCAGAGAGGCCCTGTGGCTGTTCCGGGCAGGAATCCTGAGTCAGAGCTTGGAAATGGCCGGGGGTTTAAAAGGCTTCACTGCTTTTTTTTTTAATTTATATATTTATTTATTTTTAATTTATTTATCTTCAACTGGCAAAGGGAATGTTTTCCCCAGCAGATGTAGATGAGATTTAGAGAAGTTGGGGGAGTGTTGCCCCAYTTGGATTTGGGATTTGGAGGTGGGGTTGAGGTTGGAAAATCTCAGACGATGATGAAGCTGGCTCAGGGATGCTGAAAGCTGCTCTGCATCCCAATCCCAGCATCCAGCYGGTCCCCAGGGCACCCCAAAACCTCCCACATCCCTGGGGCACCTTGTTCCCCCAGCTCACCCCTGTCCCCATGTCCCCAAAGCTCCCTGCCTTCACASAAAGCCCTTGGAGCAGAAGGGGAAGAAACTTCACCTTGGGGGCYTGAGGACCCCAAATTCTGTCCCTTCCTTGCTATCATAATTAATTAAATTGGGTAATAATTAACAGTGGATAAAAGTAACTGTGGCTAAAGTTGGGTAATAATTAACAATTGCTCTGCCTGACCCAGCTGTCCCCTCCCCATGCAGTGGGACCCTGCTCCTGCCCAGTGCCCCGATGGCACTGTCCCAGTGCCATATTCCAGATCYCCAGTGCCCCATCCCTGTCCCCCAGTGCCTTGTCCCAGTGCAGGATCCCAATTCCCCAGTGTGTTGTCCCAGTGCATTATACAAATTTCCCAGTGCCTTGTCCCAGTCCCCTGGGCCATTCCCCTGGGACCCTTGGGATGTGGCCCCAGTGCATTGTCCCCTGCCTGGTGCATAGTCCTGGTGTCACAGYGCATGGCCCCAGTGTCCCCATGTATGGCCCCAGTATCCTGGATTATTGTCTCAGAATCCCAGGATGGTTTGGGTGGGAAAGAACCTTAAAGCCCAGCCAGCACCACCCCTGCCATGGCAGGGACACCTCCCACTGTCCCAGGGTGCTCCCAGCCCCGTCCAACCTGTCCTGGACACTGCCAGGGATCCAGGGACAGCCACAGCTGCTCTGGGTGACCTGTGCCAGTGTCTCAGAGCATCCCCTGCTCCTGCCTGCCTCGTCCTGCTGCACAGCCCGGGTGGGTGACACCTCGTGGCACAGCAAGCACTGTCCCTGTGCCTGGTGCAGTGTCACAGAGCTCTGTCACTGTCCCTGTGCCTGGTGCAGTGTCACAGAGCTCTGTCACTGTCCCAGTGCGCTGTCCTGTTGCACAGGGGCCCTGTCCAGGGACACGGCTGCAGTGTCACTGCAGTGCCCTGGTGATCAGAGCACTGTCCCAGGGCAGTGTCCCAATGCTTTATCTGGGTGCACCTAYCCTGGCGCCTGTTTCACTGCCCTGGAGCACTGTCCCTGTGTACTCTCCTGGTCTTGTCTCGCACTGTCCCACTGTTCCTGTGCACCATTTCATTGTCCCGGCTCACTATCCCTGTCCCCCTGTCCCACTGTCCCTCTGTCCCTGTCCTGCTTGTCCCATTGTCCCTGTCCTGCTTGTCCCACTGTCCCTATCTCACTGTCCAGCTGTCCCTGCTGTCCCACTGTCCCTGTGCACCATTTCATTGTCCCAGCTCACTATCCCTATGCATTGTCCCACTGTTCTGCTGTCCCTGTCTCTGTCCCTGTCCCGCTGTTCCTGTCCCACTTTCTCTGTCCCCCTGTCCCACTGTCCCTGTC